TGCCCTTACCTTCACCACTTGCTGGTAGAACTGGCCCAGCACATGCTGCCACATGGACTGCTCCATGAGGACACACAGATCCGTGTAGGTGAACCAGCCACGCCACATGCCCTGCTTTTCTGCCACACTGCAGGAAAAAAAGGGAATGGTGGATACAGACCTTCTCCATCAAAGAAGCTTCAGCTCAGGCAGGCTTGGAGAAGACCCTGCTCAAGGCCTATGGAAGGGAGCTGCAGAAGCCTAGCGGAGGCTCATTGGTACCCCAAGCTCTTATTTCACTGCAGCAGGGCTAGCTCTGAGCAGGGGCAGAGCCATGGCTGCAGGGTGGATGAAAGGCTCACCCCCACCCCACAGACCTACCGTCCTTCCAGCCAGCTCAGCACTTCAAACAGCTCCCGGGGGTCTGTGTAGAGACTCCAGTCCTGTGGGGACAGCAGTGAAAGGTCAGCACAGTCAGGGCAGGCCACCCAGCACCCAGACACATCCTTCTCCATTCCTTCATGGGAATACACTGGGGAAAAGCAGAAATCCAGACTCCCCTTAACGCCTCCTTTCCCCCGCTCTGTGAAGTAGTTGGCCGCAGTGACAGTCCCACTTACAATGGCGCTTAGGAAGTTCATCTCCAGTGTGTTCATGGTCTGGACGTCCACCTTCCCTGCTGCTCCCCACTCGTCGTTGAACACCTCCTCCTCCTCACCCTCATCATACAGGTACTTACTAGCAACCATCTAAAAGCAGCACAAAGGACAGGATCTCAGTCCCTCTGCACTCCTCCAGGCCTCCCTCCAACCCAGTGACACCCTCCAGGCCACACCGCTCACCATGGAGATCAGGAAGAGGTCTGAAGATGAGATCTGCTGGAGGTATTCAGGGTTCCGGTGCCGGAGTCTCTCAATGTAAACCAGTGCCAGCATCATGGAGCAGGGCGAGATGCAAGCTTCCCTGCGGGACAAGGCAAGAGCCAACCCGAAGGTTATTTGCGTGCTACAAGCATACCAGTCACCATGGCACAACTTGGCTGCTCCCTCCCCATGTGGGCAGTGGGGAGGTTTAGTAAATAGACAGCTAGATAAATCCCAGCCTTCATAGCTCTGTGTCAGCTGTCCTGAGCTGCAGCAAGAGAAAGTGCAGGGGATGCAGGATGGAGAGCACAAAGCCCTGGCTCCTGTTTCTGGGCACAGCCAGCTCCAAACTGGGCAGCCCTGCCTGCAGCCAGGCACGCTGCAAGGGCTTGGCTGCCGAGAGCAGAGCCAGGGTTCAGACCTGGCTGCCCCGTGAGCTGCAGATCCAGCCAGTACAGACTCCCAGTAACAAGAGTACCCCTGCACCCCAGAGAGCAGGACCAACCTGAAGCAGGCCTGGCTGTGTCAGGAAGCCACTGTGCCTGCTGGTCTTGCCACGCTCCTCTTTGACACTAATCAGGCCTAAGCACAAAGCCAGTGTTGGCCCAGGGGACAGCCGTGAGTCATAGGCGAGACCAGAGCTCCCAGATCTGACACAGGACATGAAAGGACAGGTTTTGCTTCTTACCGAGATACATGAGACACATATTTCTTCTGGAGTCTGCGGATAGGGCTGGGAGCCACTTTCTGCAGTAACTCCACAGCAATATCTAGGACAGAAAAGCAGCAAAAGGGGTTAGCCCCACATGGCACAGTGCACCCCCACCCTTCCCTTTTTCCCAACAAGCCCATTGAGTCTTGGTGCTTGCTCAGCTCCTCAAGTTTAATTTAAACCATGACGGCAGGACAGGCCTTATCAAAAGTCAGGGATGAAGGAGGAACAAATGAACAGGCAGGACAGCCAGACCAAAGCAGGAAGAGGATGTGAGTGTCCAAGGCCCAGTGGCAGTGCCAAATCCAGATTAGTATGTCTGCGTCACAGGGAGTTACTAGCAGTCAGCTGCACAGAGAGGCTAACACCCTCCCCTCACCCCACAAGACCTCAGGCAGCCCTTTCAGAGGCTTTCTAGGACCTGACGTCAACACCAGGTCTTTCCAGTCCTTTGCTCCTCTCCAACCAGCATCATCCTCCTCATGAGCTGGTCAGCACTGACCCAGCTTCCTCCCCACTGCAGGCCTAGTGCCCCTGAGATGATGATGGACAACTTATTCATGTGAACAGGAGCCTGAAGGCGCGAACAGGGCATGGGAACAGCAATATGGGATAACTGCAGCTCCTCATCTCAGCCCGTTTCCCTGCCACCCATGGACATGCCTCAGTGTTCAAGCACTGAAAAGGCCAGAGACTGACGGATGGTGGCAGATGGCTTCAGCAGCTCCCGCCTTGCTTCTCAACACGATAGGACCAGCTGGGAGCATCCCAAACAGCACTACAGCCTGGTGCTTAGCAAGAATGTTTGACAGGCAACTCCAGCTCCCTTTTGCTGCTGAGACCTTGGCTGACAGAATCGAGAGCAGGGCTCGTCCCAGCAGCCTCGCATTTCCAGCTCCCAGAGGAAGCACCACCACACAATCTCTTCTCTCCACATCCCTCCTTTCCAAGTCTCTCCAGCAACTAAGAGAACGGCTGCAGTCCCATGGGAATTATTTGCCTGACAGCAGTCACCAAGCTCAGAAACACACTGCTCTAAGGGACCTTCCCTCGTCATTCAAGCCACACCACTGCTAGGATCCACAGGCAGGCAGAGGCAGCTCCAGTCACCCCATCAGCAGTTCCCAGCTTCTTGCACTGCTACTGCTCTCTCTGCCCTGCTTGGCCACCCCTTGGCCACCCTGCCAATGCAGAGACAGCAGCAGGGCTCTGAGGGATAGAAAGTACACGAGGATTCCCTCCAGGCCTTGTCCCGACACCAAACTTAATCCTTCAGCCCACAAATCCAACCCATGACAACGCGTCCCTCCCTAGAGGACACGGTGAGCAGCTGATCACTGTTCCCATGTCACAGCCACAGCACGCTGAGGGTGGTTATGGTTCTTCCTTCCCAGAAGGAACAAATTCACTTTTCAACCTCTTTCTCCTCAGCCAGTCCCACACTGCCTCCTGCGACTGCCCCCCAATGCCAAAGACCTTTTCCAGCTCCTGGTACTCTGAACTCTCCCCACAATTGCCTCCATCTCATCCGAAGTGCAGTGCTATAAACTTGCCACGTAGCAATGGCACAGCTGTACCAAGACAGATACCGTACCCCTAGGTCCCGTTTTTTGACAGCAGCTGATAGCAGCTGGCAAAGGAAGGCTGTAAGAGCAGATAAGCTCGCAGTGATATTCTTTGCGCATCGCTCCCACCCCCAGCTGCTGGAGCCGAGGCATTTCCTGGGTGCGAGGCAGTCTTTATAGTTAATAGCCCTCAACAGAGTCTTCTTCCATGAATGTGCCCTTTGAACTTTCAAAACTGGTGGCGTCCTGTGGAACAGTCCCACCTCGCACCCGGGCGTGACATCAGCCCCAAAGACGAGCCACGTGCCTTCCTCGCACCACCTGTGTCAGAACTCGTGACTCCCAGCAGCGCCCAGGCAGCTGGCTACCCTGCCTGGCCCTGCTCTGTCACCATGCACCCAGCATCCCCCTCCTCGCTGAGGTATGTCACACACAGCCTCTTGGTGACTTCAGACTGTTTCCCCAAAACTATCACAAGAGTTTTGAATGCAAGCATGCTTCCCCACCCGCTCAATGCCCCCTGCAAGCTGTGTGAGTATGCAGCTAATGGAACCACTAATGCGACCCCACTGTGAAGGCCCTCCAGCAAATCGCTGCTTGCCCTTGACCGCTCCTCTCTGCCATCACCCAGCTGTGTCCTTCTGCTCCCCCAAAACACTGCTGAATCAACAGGAAAAAAGGGATGTGATCCAGACAAACACACAGCAGAAACTTGTCCCCTTGCTGCTCACAACTAGAAGTTAAACAAACTCCCCGGTACCTTGCAGAGCACAAGAAGTTGTCCAAGACACCTCTCACCAGGGACACGGACACAGCCTTCACTGCCAAGCAATTTGCAAGCAACCTAAAGGAATCTGCACACCAACGAGGTGCCAAAAATGCAGCAGTGGGCCAGACAGGGCAATAAAACAGAGAGCAGGAGCCATGAGGCTCTGGCACCCTGCCTGCTGTGCGCAGCACAGCAAGGAAGGCTGAGCAGGGGTGGGATTTGGCTCTGGGGAGGGAGCGGGTGACTTGTTGGTCTCAGCCCCTGGGCTACTTCCAACCCCCTTGACTCAGCATT